AGAAAAAAAATACGCCTGCCCGATATCATTGTTCTTTTGGGAAACTCCGTACGCTGGCAAACGGAGCTCCTGATTGGTGCGGCATAGCGAAGTAGATTGATGCCTGTCAATTAACTGTAAGTCTACATTGTTTATTCCGTTTTCCGTTAGTCTTTGGAATTGGAGCAACTGGGAATGTCGCGTGTATTACGCAATGAGAAAGTCAAAGCGATTTCTACACTGGCCTCAGGACAAGATTTGCTCGCAGTACTAAATCCTACACCACTTTTACCTCATGCCAAAATGCTGCTTGTTCCAGTACGTTTTTTTTTTTTCTGGCGAGTAGATTATGCTCTAGAAGGTTCTATGTTTTGACTAAGCAAATGTGATTTTAGCCGCTTGTTTCACACTGAGCGGTCATGACAACGCTTATTGATTTTCTGTGGTTTTTGAATTTCTGGTCTTCATGATTTGCCCTCTGATCCAAGAGCGTTTTCTTTGACCTCTTTTGAAGCGTAAACCTCTTTTTGTCGCTAAATTAGGCTGTTAGGTTCTTTATTTTTGTCTAAAGTGCCTCAGGATCTGAATAACTCAGCGATTTTCTTTCTAGTCCGAGAATGTGATGTTTTCCTGAAATGTTGTATCACGCTGGGCCAAGTTCGTTAGTTTTTTAAATTGTTTGCAGGATGTTAAACTCTCACGGATAGCTATTTACAGAGATGAACTTAGAAGAATGAATTGCAGCTTAAACTGAAGCTTCATCAGCTGTGGAGAACTGCATTGTGACTCAGTCAAGATAAAAACAATGATAAATTCCAGCTCTTTTTTCTAAGACAATGCGAGTCTTTGGACTGCAGCGACTGTTTGGTTGTTTTGTTATTGTCGGCTACTCATTTCCGGAAGAGCGGTCACGCGCGTCTAATTATAATTAGGGGGTGTTTCTCATTTTCACAGTGTTTTCGGGCAGGCGTTTTCTCTTGCCTCTTCCCCCCCCTTCCCCGCTCCCTTTGACTCGCCCCATCTCCTCCTCTCGTCGGGAAGTTTCAACATGGCACTTTCGCGAGCAAATTGCGCGCCGAAAAGAAAACGCCTGCACTGCAGGCTAAGGAGAAGAACTCGTGCAAAACTTTTGATGTTAAATCGAGAAGTTTCAAAATGTATCACACGCAGGTAAGCCAAGCTAAAGCCTTTTACCCTGGCAACGTTAACTCTATAAAAGCCTTGTTGATCCCAGTCCACTGGCAAGTTTTAGGCTGGAAGCTTCAATGTGGCGTACGTGACATGAAAACACGCACAAAACGCCTGAGCCGCTGATCATTTTGTAAAAATGCGAAGCAGGAAAGATTCATCAGTGACAACTCTTAAGAGTTTGGAGGACAAAGCCGATAGTAGAGGGTGTTTTCTTGTTAATCAAGTTAAATAAGGTATAGTCCTCTGCACAACTATGAACACTTTCTGACATTTTGTAAAAAATAAGTAAGCCTGAACAGAAAATATGGTCATTTATTTTTTGCTGTTTTCCTAGGCTAAGAATGATCAAGAGTTTACTATCAAGTTAGCTTGATCCTCCTTTCTTTTGTAGAAATCAAGGTGTCTCTCACAGGATTGTCCAAGTTTAAGGAGGGAGTTTCTAAAGTATGGGAACTGCTGTCTTTGCGAAAAGGCATCAGCTTTCATTTGCAAGAAATTAGAATAGATTATCCGAGGAAACGAAAAGGCAATCATTTCTGGCAGTGAAAACAAACAATTGAGCTGGACTCCAAGGGAAACCATCAGTGAAGTGGAGAAAATGGATCAAATGGAAGACTTAAAGATAAGTCGTAATTTTCAAGGAGAAAGAAATTTCATTTCTCTTCAGTAAAATTGATTGTGGCATAAAAATTTCCTCAGCTGAGTTGTAATTCGTCAGCTTCCCCGGATTTTT